CCAACAACGCATTCCCTCAAGAATTAAACAAGCATAAGTTTTAACTGTTGGCATCCTATAACAGCCACAGCACCATGTGTTTTATGTATAGGTAACGAAATCCTGCAACACAAATCAATGCAACTGAATCATTTTGCTCTTGAAGCCAAAGATGATTCTAATTATTACAAGAAATTTCCATGGTTTTTGTTTGGTGTGACAAAACCATGTATTGGTCCAACAACAAACAAAATTCAATGAAAGAAGGCAGATGGCACAAACCCGGGACTAGCTTCAACAAATGTCTGGTCAAGACCCAAAAAGAACAGAATATGAACCCTGAAGATCATTGTCACTCAATCTGAAAATACATGATGCTCAATGCCGTACTAAAACTATACTTGTCAATACCACTTTCAGCAAACCAAGAGCCAACAACTCCCTGAGATGAATTACCAAAAATTCCCGCTGGCCACCTCTCTACTAGTCGAAAACCATAACGGGAAGCAGCAGAGAGCATAGATGGTTCATCAACTCGACGAAAAACGTGGCAGAGAATAAGTGCCGATGCCTGGTCCTCTTCATCGCCTCTGTTGGGTGAGATCAGTTCTCTCGCAGTGGCAAAAAGAGGCAAAATTGCTTCAGGAATATATGTCACGTCAGTGCCTATGATGATGTTGAAACCTTTGTCGTTCACTTCTTTGATTGCTTCTATATGGCCCCTATCTCCCCATTCCAGGCTCTTAACAATCAATTTATCAAGGAAAGGTGGAGCTATATTTGAAGCGACATTTTGCATCAACAGGTCAAGGGTCTTTGTATCTCCATCAGTTGCTACCACAAGGTCAGCAGATCTAACAGCCACCATCGAGCAGATGCCTCCGCAACCGCAGCCCAACTCCAAAACCTTTTTTCCTGAAACAATGTTTGGGTTTCGGGCTAGAACAGAGGCCATCAATTGAGCCGATTCCCAAAGCATCAACCCAGTCGACTTGCATGTGTGTTGATACTCTCTGGACAATACTCTAATGCTAAAAGTTTCCTCGTTAAGACTGACCTGAATTATCTGAGAGGAAATAATGCCAAAAACAGGTGTCATTGTTCAAGACAATAAATAATGGAGACCTTGGTCCGCCAATAAATTCTTTAAAAGGTGAAAATCCATTGAGAACTTGAAAGCATATGCAATGAGAAGAGGTAGAATATCTCATTTCTTGATCCATAATATGCAAATATAGACAGAATTAGCAATAAGAGAAACCTTTACCTCGTTGTCAACAGAAGATGGAATGCCAAACATGTCAGCTGCAACGCCCTCAGACATATCAACCTCAATATTCTTGCCAGGCTCCTTTGAAGCGTTCAATGATATGTTGGATTCAATATTTTCTTGACTTGGCAAGTCAACTTCAGTACTAGCATGATTGCCGCTAGAAAGGTCCCCAGCATCTGAAGGGCAAAATACGGCTTGGATCCATCGTCTGAAGTCAAATGCAAACGATGACAATCATACCGACAAAAGCAACAGGAGACTCCCGAAGCCAAATTAAAATTACATACCGATTCATTACCAACTCTCTCGATCGATTCTCAACTTGTTTGCAACACAGACCAATTTCCTTCACATTGAATCCATTGTCCTTGAATAAACTTGCTAAGAATTCATTAGAAAAATAGAATGCACGCTGTGTTGAGGGGAAAAAAAAGAAGGAAAGAAAAGAGTGTCAAGATTGGCTCATTAAGAAGAGAAAAATAAAAGATAGCATCCACAAACAGATCGCAGGAACTGACAGTGCCATCACCCCTAACATAAAAGTTCTCACTAATCATTTGATCCTTGCAAGTAAGCCTTTCCTGTCAGCAAACAGTTAGACATGGGAAAATGTGTAAGAAATAGCAAAAAAAGTGTGAGCAGCCCCACTTAATAAATTGTCGGCAGAAAAGAAATTTCTAAATAATAAAATGGTATACTGAAAGAGCAACCTGAGCAAGATCACCGGTGGCATAATCACGGAACAGCACATGACCGTTTGGCTGGAAGCAAAAACAGTACATTGCAGTTATATCTCCTCTAGTGATAGTACCTTATCTGATTAAAATCAGTATATTACCAGTTTTATTCTTACAAACAGGGATGTCTCCTACCTTGAGAACCCTTCTTATATTCTGCAATACTAGATGCATCTTCTCTGGAGACACTGCAGATAGCACAAATATCTGCTTTACAATCAGCTAGTGATACTGCATAACTAACTGACCAAGCAAACTCTGAATTAATAGCATTAGCTATGAGATAGCAGTAGCAGCTTATTAAGCTACAAAGATGTATTAAACTTAGATCATTACTTCCTTTCAATTACCATGGTTACAATGTCAACAGAAGATGGTGGGATTTGCTGGTTCAAGTCATCAATGGTCAAATCACAGACAAATGGACTAATTTGTGTTTCCTTGAAGTCTTTATGCATCTGTAATGAGCAAAATAAAAGGTCATGTCATTAAAAAATGCCAAATGTATCCTGAACCATGTCAATCTAACAAAAGCAAATTTTAACCACATCAAATGACACATACATCCAAATTGTACATCAGACCTTCTGGAACTCATATTTGGATGGAACAACTAGCAGGGCTTAATTATCGATGAAAAGAAGCTAGCAATTGTAGGGGAAGGGATCATATATTTGTAATTTAGCATTTACATCCAATTTTTCACAAGTTACTGACCCCGCCTGCCCCCCCATGCATTGTCTTAGGAATAAAAAAAATGTCCAGCCCAGCACTCCAGCAGGAGGCGACATCAGCTCAGAAAACAGCAATCAGCCCTTAAATCAAATGAAGACGTAGATAATGACAAGAACAAGAATCAAACCTTAATTAAATTAACAGCACGTGGTGAGAAATCACAGGCATGAACAAAAACATCTGGGTATGTAGCAACCAATGGAAATATAGTGTTTCCAGCTCCACAACCAACCTGCGCAGAGCATTAGCACCAATCTTGAAAAATGTAACCAATAACTTAGAACGAAAAATTACCATTTATCTGCAGCGAAGACAAGTTCTCAACATAACAGACCAACACGAGTGAAAGATTTTCTCCATACGAACCATGGAGTTATCTTATGACTGGAAAAATTCATTGCATGTAACAAGAGCAACGCGGTCTGCTGAAAACAAACACGGCACTAGTTGCTCACCTCCAAAATAATCCTTTTCCCTGCTCCCTGACAAAAACAAGAATCTGTTGAATGAAAAGCACAAAACAAAATCTACACCATCCAAGAAAATTCCAACTTCACAGAGTGAATTACGGATTGAAAGCAAAAGTTTTTCTCAACTCACAGAGAAATAGCGGCCCCATTCCTTGTCCAAGTAGTGCCGATCTTTGAAAAACTGTTGAAATGGAGAGAGAGAGATACAGAGAGAGAGAGAGCTGGCATTAACAAAACAAGGAGCAATAGCCAAAGCAGCAAAGTGCACAAAGAATGAACTGAACAGCTTGAAAAAAAAACTAGTCACCACTTAACAAGCAGCACTAACGCTCCTATCAATTTACTTGCCAACCAATGAATCTCCCAAAAGATTCAAACTTCAAACCCAAAACAAGAACAAAACAGAAAACCCATCTCAGTCAGAAAGCAGGCACAAGAATTATGGCCAAAGCTAGCAAACCTTGTCCTGGTGTCTCTTGTAGAAGATGTCCCAGTACTTCCTAGCCTCTCTCTCGTACTTGTCTGCAGAATCAGAACAAACCCAGAAGAGAAAGATCGCACCTTTAACGCCATTCCCAATCAAGAAAAGAGGCACGATATTCAGGGGAGAAGGACAGAGAGAGCTCGAGACCTCTCCAGAAAGGGGAAACTCCGGTGGCCGAAGTGGAGTATATCTGAATCTTGGGGCTGGGTTCTTGCTGCTCTGGACCCGCCTGGGCATCGGATGACATGGCTAGCTAAGCTGGGCACCCGCCTGATTTCGAGAGTTTCTTCTCTGTTCCTTTTGGAAGCAAAGCTCTGTTTTTGCAGTGTGAGGATCGGACGAAATTCTAATTCGATTCGAGGAGGCTGATGGACAAAAACTAGGTTCGTGGGAAAAAAATTTTATGGTTTGGAAATTTGCGGAGGGGTAATTTGGTCTTTCCAAAGCAAGAGATTTTTGTCTTGAGGTGGTTGGTATTCGAAGTAAACAAAAGCATATGTTGCCATTGAATGAAAATTGAGGCATACTTTTCTGTATATTTTATAAAGATGAAAGAACTAAAACTTTCTTCCAGCAACTGCACGGTGAACCGAAGCTAAACCCTGCCTCCCCAAACCCCCGGTGGGTGCGTTTGGAAACGCTCTAGGTAAAGTTTTAAATAGACGAACATTTTTTAAAAAATGAGGCATGTAATTTGTAGTTTCACAAATAGAAATACATCTTTTGTCATTTGGGGGTGAAAATCAAGTATGTTCTGGGTTTTTTTTTTGTCCTCGTTTTTCACGTTTTCAGATATCTTAGTCATCCCTATTGTTTCGTTCCAAAGTAAAACTGTGATCGAGTCGGCATGGCCATCTGAAAAAACGACCGCCATTCAGATTATTTTGGTCGGATTTTAGGAATTGACAGGACAACTGAGATGCCATGCCTTGGAAAAGTAGGTTCATGTTCCGTTGTTGTTAGACGTGATCAGAAATTGATCCATTATATCAGTCAGATTGCAACAAAAGGGCTTTCTAAACATTTAAGATGATCGGTCTATTCAGCATACCTTGTCTCAGAATCAAGCAACGCAAATGGACTTTTCCATTGCAATCCCTCTTTCAGTTTGCTTCATTACATCAAAATAACTCAATGCCATTTTTCATTGTCGAACGTATACAATTTATCTCAGTAAAGTCGATTCAGAGGGAGCTTATCTGATCCGAAGCTTCAAACACGACTTCAGATTCAGCTTACCTCCGACATTTACGATTACCGATTTCCACCAGCATTGTCCAGTAAGCAATCCAAAACTTGATGAGACGGGAACAGAGGAGAGATTATGGCTAGACGGAATCCATGGATTGCCTGTAAGTATAATCCCCTGCACTTACTGCATGTTCACTACAAGGCGATCTCCTCTCATGTTACATTTCTTCTATAATGGCAAAAAGAGAAGCTTTGAATACATATGAACAGTCTAATTCTATGACCACACATAAATGATGAGACCCATATTGAAATAATGGAAAGAATATAGAACTGCAAAAACGACAGGTGCCTTTTTTTGATGAGACTCGGATCTCAATCTATTCATTCATCTTTTGGATCAGCCTCCGAAGTTGGCTTTTCTGTTTCGTCCACATTGCTAGACCGGGCCTCCTCGGAGTGTGGAGGACTTCCATTCTCTAGAATGGGTAACTCACCATTCGCAGATATGGTCTTTTCTACGACCGGTGTCGAGGTTTTGGGTACTTCTACTGAAGGAGAAACCGTTAACAGTCGGCTGAGTCCATCATATAAACCTTTCGCATCCATGACGAGAGCCGCTCCACCGGGATAACATCGCCCAAAGCAAGTGGCACAATGCGGATAAACAACCTAAAAAGGAAAGAAAAGAAAATTAGATCGCAAAGGTGCAAAAGTAATTTTTGAACAGCGGGGAGGATGAATACTAGTGTGCAGTACCTCGATAAATGCTCGGCAAAGGGAAAGAAAAAGGCCAGATTCGTTTTCTCTCAGTATCTGAGTTGCATTATATCTTAATAGAGACTCGGCTACTTCTCGCAATCCCTTAATTAATTCTTGAGCGATGATATGCTTCAAGCTAATCGGGGCACAAGGGCGTAGTTCGTTCATTGCCACAGATACACCTACAACCACCATAGTCAAGAAGTTAGCGCAATCAACAACCCCGGAACACCTCTACAATTATTTTTCTTCATACTTCAAATATATCTCCATCCTAAAAAGCACTCACCATTGACAAATACAGCAAGAGGTGGATGTTCCATCAGATGAGATGGAGGAGTGACATCCTCTTGACTTTCTTCCGTGACACTGTTGGCTGAAAAACCAACAGCTGGTAGAGGAACCCAACGATGCGAATTCAGGACCAACTGGGTCAAAAACATTAAGATGAGAATCACTGCACTTAATCTTTTCACTATATCTCCAGTAATAACATATAGTACATTTAAACGTGTGTTTTACAAACATCATACTCATCTATGCACCTGAAAATTTTCGACTGCGGTACTCATATTTTTTGAGAACAGATTAAGAACCGCCCTGCATAGTAGACCAAAGTCAAACTTTTGCACAAAGCTAGCGAAAAGCCAATAAGCAGCAGGAATCAAAGATAAGATGTATGTTTACTCTTCAAACAGTGATGGAAGCAATCCTCGAAAGTCGAGCCCAACCCAGCCAAGGCCCATAGCACAGTACTGTAGCAAAAGTAAACTCATCATCAACTCTAGATGCAATAGAACTTGACTATCTGTACGAGATCATCAAGAACAGCAGAGAACTAGAATTCGCAACTCATGAGCAGATTTTAGTGTTGCATATCTTTCTAGGCAAAGAACAAAGGTATGTAAGAGAATTATCAACAAAAAAATAAAGATTTGCCAGCCCATGCGTATAAAACCAAACTATCATTTATCTCACCATGCATTGATCCAATATATTCGATAAAGACCCTCCTTCAGTTATTTTGGGTAGCATGACTTTCAGAGTTTTGAGATGTGAGGTAATCTGATGCATTGCCCAGTTAAAAAGGAGGCCACCGTCGTAGTTTTCTTCACTTCCTGACGTATCATCAGCAAATATTGCCCGATATTGATTAACAACATCAAAAAGATGCATCCTATGACAGTTTATCATGCCTTTCAAGTACTCATAAGGGCTTCTCTGGTCCAAGTCCTCGAGAATCCCAGTAAGCCAAGCCTCTCTACATCGTAAGAACTGAAATACAACAAAGAAAGAAAGAAAGAAAGAAAGAAAGGAGAGAAAGAGAGAGAGAGAGAGAGAGAGAGAAGTGAGATATAAGTAAATTGTCTGACATGCAAAACAGAATTAATAGAACCACTATATCTCATCTCCTGAGTTTGACTAATAGTGACACGCGTCCCTTGTGAAACTTTAGACCTCATGAAAAATCTAAATGCAGCGTGAACTGGTCTTCTTCTTGTGATAAATGCAGAACAAGTTTTACCTGCAACCGCATTTCATATTCGCTAAAAACTCCTATTCGGCGTAGATATCCAATAATCCGGAGGCATTCGGGCAACTGTCAAGGAAATGGGTAAAATCAAATTCAGAATGTTGAATCCATGCGTAGATATCCAGGTGAAGGAAGCTATGCTCAATACCATATAGGCAAGGTTACCTGAATATTTGACTTGAGTTTCAGAAGGAGCTGAGAAAGAAGAGACTGAGTGGTTTGCTTAACCTCGGCTGCCAATGATTGAATCACTGGTAATCTTGGACAGAAACACAAAGCCACAGCAAGCCAATTAGATGAAAGCAATACCCAAGGCATAACTCAAAGTAAAGTGACGAGAGAAACTCACTTGGGGTGCATTGTCGAAAGTTTGCAGACAAATGCTTCTAAATCAAGAGCTTCGTCATAGTTTCCATTCCTCACACATCTGCAGCATGTTCGGAGTCAGTGGCTATTAAAGACTAATTAGTCAAGGGGCAAGGTATAATATTGCTCAGGACAAGCCACTCAAGGGCCAGTCATTCTCTGCTAGGGAAATGGGGGAAAATGGCAGGGATGAATATTTGAGTGGAAAGTTCTCAAACAATTAAAACTTTTGTGAGAAGGGAAAGGAGAAAAAATTTAAAATAGAGGGTATTTTCTTCTCTCATGGTGCTTCCCAGCATATTATTAAGTTCGTGTATCAGCATCCACTTTCCTCAGAAAATTCATAATTACTACCCTCCAAAAGAGAGGCCATGCAAAGGAAGAGCTCCAATGCTACCCCCAAAAGGCAAGGCTAAATTGTCTTCAGATTGTTAATTTGTTGCATTCCCCACAACTACTTCCCATTCCAAAAGGTTGAAACAAGAGTAAGATGCCAGACTCCTTGCTTATAAGAAACGAGCAATTCTATGTTGGTCTAAGCTATCCGGCAATTTTCTTGACAATAGTCTAGGATAGCATCCTAATACGCAGTAGTCTCCAGTCAAACCTTCTAGACCTCCAACTAAGATGCTTTCGTTATTCTAATAAGACCAATCATGTTTATTTTTTCAAATTCCTATCGCCAGATACCCAAATTGACGAAAGACCATAGGTTGTAGTGCATTTCCTTCACAAATAGATTCAAAATTCTTTGATCTCCATATCAATCAACTGGATCAAACTGAAACAGCATGCAAACCTCTCTTACTCTATGACAACCTAACAAAGCTCACATAGCCAGAGAACAAATAGCCATCTAAAGGACATGCAATCCGCCGTACATTTTAAGTGATTCTCCAAATGCCTCATGAGACACAAACGGTGAGATCAAACGAATGAGTGACATATAAATTTGGCAAGCACATACGTGTCCATGAGTTGAGGAATTTCGAGCAAGTCAAGCAATGTACTGTGATTGGCAAGCAAAGTCTGATTCATCTTCCTCTTCTCCAAAATTTGTTCACCAGATTCAACAAATTCAGTGCAACCGGAAGTGAGCTTCGGTATCTCACTTATCTGCAAACAGATAAAACACCATCAATCCCCAACGGCCATTACCATACTGGTCGAAACTCGATTTTCTCATTCGAATCAACGAAAAATGTAAAACTTCTGTTGCAAGCAAGTATTAAACAACAGATTGTGCAGAAGCAGCAGTTTTGCAGTCTTCAAAATGCGTAACCACAGCACATGAAGCACAGTTCTCGACAGCATTCAATGCTAAATCAACAGAAGAAAGGGATAATTACGAGAGACTCGAGATGCTTATCGATGGCAGAAACTTCTTCCCGGATCGCGAGCAACGCGTCGGCGGCCGCGATGAAGGCTCTGTAATTACCGACCGCGACCTCTTGCATCTGCCTCTGGATCCTCTCCGCATCCACCCGGAGCAGCTCCGGTTCCTGCCAGTTTGAGCACATAACGAATCAAACGACGCTTACCGCGCAACAAAAACGATCGCATTCGGCGCGAAACGAGCCGGAGAATCTTCGAGACGCCGCACCTTGTGGAGGCGGTCGAGAGTGAAGGAGAGGAGCTCGGAGACGTACGGCTGCTGCGCGGCGGAGGCGAGCGGGAGGAGGAGGCTCGCCATCGCCGCCGTCTCCGCCTCCTCTCCATTGTCCGGCTCCATTCCCTCTCTCTCTGGTTTCCTCGGAACTTCGGACGACTCGAGATTCGAAGGATGCGGTACGGGATTGAGGTCTCCGATGAGGGCCTTGAGCTCGAAGCCGGAGGTTCTCCGACGGGATCTAGCGAGCGGGGAGGCCGATCCGGCGGTTGACTGGACCGGCTGAGGTTCGAGCTGCCATTGACGATGGATCTGAAGCTTTCTTCTTCTTCTTGCTCTGTGATGGAACGGTTTGAGCTTGAGCTTGAAGGAGCGAGGCGAGCACTCGCTCATGGGCCCGCGTGGGCGATTGGTGGGCTTGTCCCGAAAGACGCTCGCGTGGGCTCGATCTTGGGCTTTAGCCCAACACGCAGGCCCAGTTGGGCCTGATGATTCTTGTTCAAGCTGTTAAGCTCGTTTTCTGAGCTCGTGTATATGTGAGGGAGGTAACGCATTGATTTTTGTCACGAATTCGTGTCGATCCGTGTCGGGTTCGAGCTCATCGATCCGTGCTTCCACAGCCATGTCGAAACCTGTCGAAAACCGACACTCTGCATCGTGCAGAGCGGACAAGCTACTCTTCGGCAATGGGAGCTTCCGTCGGCAAACTATTCGAGCTCGTCTCAGTTCTTTTTTAGTGCAAGTTGAGTACATATGGCTCAAAGATGAAAAGGGTCGAGTTCGCACTCGGAAACGATCACCTTCAGCACATATAAACTGTAGTAGTTATACATATTCTATCTTCTTTTTTTTATAAAGTGTCATGACGCACGAGAAATTGTAAATTTTTTTTTATAACAGATATATAATATGTTTATTATCCAAAGTTATCGCGAACTCATGCATTATGTGATAAGTTTCTCTAGCCGTCATATCTTGACAATCTCTCTGTACCAATTACCTGACATAGAAGCAACTTTTTCTCTTTTCAACATGGTAATCATTGGAACAATCAGAAACACATTCATCAAAATGTAGCACTTTATATACTGCTCATTTATAGTCAACACATATAGAAAAAAGAATCTGTCTCACCCATATTGTAATAGAAGCTGAAAATCATGAAAGCAAGAAGCACAATTACAAAGATCATCCAACCCCCCACCCCCCCCCCCCCCCCCCTAAAGAACCTCCAATACTATACATCACCTCATCATATATGATCACAACCTGTCAAAAGGAAAGAAAAGAGAGAACATGGAGGAGCAACAAGGTACATGAGAAGGTAAGAAGAGAAGATTTAAAACCCGCATTTGAGGCATAGAAGTAGTAGAAAGGAGGGGAGCTACTATTAGATGATGTAATTATAGGGGAGTACGACATCGATGGCGGAGGGGGCTTATTGTACTTGTAAGGCGGGGGCGGCGGCGGAGGGGGAGCACCCCATACGGGATATATATCGGGTGGCAGCTGTGGTGGCGACGGTGGCGGCGACATATGTTGCGGAGGCGATGAATGCGGGGCAGGCGGTGGCGGGCTAGCGTAGTAATATGGAGGAGGAGAGTGAGAAACTGGTGGCTCCGGCAGCGGCAGAGGTGGAGAAGGAGGAGGATATGTCTTGGACAACGGCGAAGGTGGCGGCGGTGGCGGCGAGCAGATGCCAGGACATGTCGGACATTCGCTTATGCATAAAACCCCATACGCAGGTTTTCCAAGTGCATCCTCGGAGTTCGCTCTTGCTGCGAGAGTGATGAGTCCTATGAAACCAATGATCTTCACGAACCCTAATGAGCTTCTAATGATGAGAGCCAAGCACTTTTCTTGATCCATCGTGTTGCTGTTGCGTGAATGCTGTCGACAACTTCGCTTCCTGCTTATAGCAAGCGAATTGCACCTCAAAACCATTTATACTTGTTGAGTCTTGAACTTCGTAGAAGGATCGGAGCAGGCTTTGTTGCCACACATGGACATCAACAGTTCAATTTTGTCAAAGTAAAAGATGAATCTTTAGTCAAAAGCCACCAGAGAAAGATACTCTGAGCTGGTTCGCTTAGTGATCAATAAACGGATTTGTCTGTGCTGTTCAGGCTCCCTACACGGCAGGTTAGTTCCCCGATCCACCGGATGCAAATAATCCTATTTTTGAACCCGCCCACTGGAGTTTTGGCTCGCGTTTTATGTGGTTCGGGAAGATAATAAGGTGCTTTATAAGCTTAAAATTTACTTATTTTAAGTGGGTTTCCACGATGTCAGAAAAGAGAAATAGATTAAACATGAAAGATTTGCGTGATCCATGAATCAGACTTTGGTTCACTTGGCTCATGCTAAATGGTCACTCCTGCGAACTTTTAGGTCACCAGCATGAGAATCTGTTCGCCTTTGCACTCTTCATACGTAAAGGATGTGATTCTTCCAAGACTTTGATCTAAAACCTTTCCATTTTTGAAAATTAATTCTAGACATTCTAAAACAGATTAGGGAAACCATGGACTCAATATGACTCTTCAAATCTTGATTGGTCCAATAACTATGTAAATACGTATCAAGTCACCTCGCTTTGTTTCGAAATCCATCTTTCAAAGAACTACTCAAAGAGCAAATTGTTACAAGGGCATGTGGGAATAACGAAAAACCCTAAATCGTCACGAGCACTCTGGCATGGTAATGTAGTAAAGTTTTAGTATCTCTGGCATGAAAATACCTTTCTCCGGACACAATCCATCTTTGTGTGCTTTGGCCATGAAAAGGAAAGAAAGGCTGGCAATTCTTGGAGTGATGCTTTTTCTCACTTCAGTACAACACCCACCTTTTGCCTTCTCTGCTTGAAAGAGATGTGTGCCTTCTGAAGGTTTGGCCTCCAAAGTTTCAGCTTCAAGCATGAAGGCATCGTTCTTGATGTGCACTAATAAACTTTTTCCAAGGCTTTATGGCTTCTTAATTAACATGAATTTATCAGATGTTAAACCATATCGCACTCTATCCTTAGCTGAAGCGCCAAGAAACGTGCAAACTTCTCACCAAAAAAAAAAGAAGTAAACAAAACAAAAAACTTTGATGCTGAGTCTCCTTTCATTGTCGTCAATTAATTCAGGATTGAATAGTTAAGTGAAAAGTACCAAAAAAGTCATAAACCTATTTAATCGGTACCAATTCAATCCTAAACTTTTTCATATTAGTACCAATCCAGTCCATCCGTCAATTTAGGCCGGAAATCGCTAACGTGAATGCTACCATCCCACATGGCACAGCCGGCATTGACGTGAATAATTTTATAATTTTTTAATATTTTTTTGAATGTTTTAATTTTTCAATGATTTTTCTATTTTTTTTCCTTCCCCTTTTCTTGCCCTTTTCTTTTTGCTGGTGCTGGTGGCCAGTCCCAGCCGCCGGCCACAGGCTAGGGTCGGCCGTGCCTGGGCTCCGAGGAGGCCCCCCTCGTCAGATCTAACGAGGCCGATCCTCCCCCAGGCCAGGGCGGCCATGCCATGGCTTGGGCGAGGGTCGGTCTCGCCGGAGCTCGCCCTCACCCTTGCACGGCCCAGCGAGACCGACCCTTGCTTCTAGTCGGCGTCACCGATTTCCGACCTAAATTGGCCGGATGAACTGAATCGATATCAATGTGAAAATATTTAGGAGTAAACTGATCCAATTGAAAAGTTTAGGTCTTGATTTGTATCAATGCAATAGCTAATTCTGCATTTTGCACAAACAGCTTGATTTTTGGCTCGTTAAACTCCTTTTCCGCGCGATTCTACTCGGTTGATACATCTTTCGCTCACTGACAACAAAGAAAAAGAAATTTAATTACCAATGTGTCTTCTACATCCATCAAAGGGGCTCGTCAACAAGATCGGTACTCATTTTCATCAAAATAAAAGTAACAAAGATTACTAACAATACTACTTGAATATCCAAACAAAAAAAATCGATTTTAATCAATATTTTGACCAAGGACTGATCGAAATCTGGGAGTGGTCCCTGTCGTACCATAAATATCACATGCTTCTCGAAAACCTATGCATTATTTAATCAATAACATTACAGTTTGTCCTTGCAGAACAACAGATCTCGAAAAAAAATAAAAATATAAAAAAAAGAAGGAAACCTAACCACGTTGTATAATTTTGAACTGCCTCATGTCGTATTTCCTCTAAAGTAAAGGAAAAATATTAGCCCGTGTTATTATTGATATTTGGGATGGCCCTTTTTTTCCCATTTTATTTAATTTTTATTTTGTCGTCGCGTGAGGGAAAAAAATTAAAAGAAAATAAAAAAGAGGAAACACAGGCAGGTGTCAGAAGACAGAATTTAATTAGAGAGGGAACCCAAGCAGGTCCCAACCCGACCATGCACTTTCGGGCCCACATGTGTCGCATGAAATTTAGTGAAAGGAGGAGCGAGTGGGTCCCACGTTTCTTTTGGGTTTCGTCCTTGACGCTCGACCCCGATGGATGTCCCATTTTAGATTGTTGAAAAGACGAAAGATCTTATTAAATATGTAAAAATTAATAATTGAAAATATTGTAATATAAAAATGGGATAATGATATAAACAGTCCCTGAACTTTGATCCGACTAAACTTTTAATTTGTTCAATGTAATAAGTGAACTTGAGCATAATATTCAATATGATTCCTAAATTTTTAATTTGGTCAATGTTGTCCATGGCCTTTTGGTACATGTTCAATATAGTCTCTGAACTATATGGAAATATTCAATGTGGTTCTCGAACTTGAATTAGTGGAAGGATTACACTAAACTGAACATGTACAAAAAGTTCAAGAACGATATTGAACGGATTAAAAATTCATGAACCACGTTGCGCATTTGGATTAATGTTCAGTAATCACATTGCACATTTGAACAAAGTTCATAGATTGTATGTGTCATTTTCCCTATAATAATTTTAATGAGACTAAGAATTAAATTGTTCTTGCTAAACTGTATTGTCTGATTTGACCGAAAAAAAAAATAACTATATTGTATGTTGTGTGGTTCTCCTTATTTATCATCGGTCTATAAAATGATAGACATGACGGCGAAAATAAATTAGTAATTGGAGACGCTGTTCTTTATTTTGGTCCGAGAGACGTTGTTCGAGTACATGATTTAATTGAAAAGTTGCTAGATGTGTGTCTATAGCCAATTTATTGTAACTGCAACGATTGCTAAGAGGAAGAAAATGGGCCGATGAGCTGTGCGTTGGGGACAAAACAGGTACCATAGTCTCGTGTCAATATGATTAGACGATCGAAAGAATTTCACTCTATTTGGTGAATGATTGCACACAGACATTGCTGCACAAAACGGGTAATGCACTTTCAATTGACAAAGTAATCAAAATAGAGTGTGCTGCATTTTACTAGGGGATGCATATATGTTGTCCTACGGTGGATCCATCTATTGTCTTCAACTTTGAGATCGTAACACGTCTCAACGTCTCCCAACGGCAAATCCGCTAATGTGAGCAGGACAACCCACCGCTTCATGTCCAAGCCGTTCAATTGCCCCACCATCGTCTTTTTATTTGCTCCGTCTCCCCGTGCATCCAAGCTAAAGTCCGACTCCTCGCCTTTCTTTGCTCTTTTGAGCTCGCGATTGTCACTCGTATTAGACGGCTAGTCCATCATTAACAATATCTCAGCCTCAGTACTAGAACTTGAAGCCATGCACGAGTTGCCGCCGCCAAATTTGGAGCAGCAGCGCCACCAACTGAGGTAGAGCTCGACGTCGCACTGAGGTTAGCCAACAGTGACGAGCTCGAACAAAGAGTTTTAGATAGAGATGGGGAAAATACGGCGGGACGGGGGCTGCAAGGATGAAAGTAGGGGGAGGGAACTCGACGTTGGGCACGGCAGCAATGGCTAGGTGACGCCGGGGGGAACGTGCGCCAAATGGTTGTAGAGAGAGGGGATTAGATTTCAGGTTTTTATTTGGTGCGGACGAAACTAAAGAGAGCACCACATGCTGTTATATCATGCTTGGAGACCGCTAAAGGGACTATAATAAGGGACTACGGATTTGCACCCGACAAGATAGGTTGTGCGTAGTGCTGTTAAGGAGTTTAAATCAGCAACCAATTGGCACTTGAATTATATACATGATTAGTATCATAGATTATAAGTCCCTCATGCAATGCTAATGGCATATGTCCCCTCATTTGGCAACTTGTGCAGAGTGTGCGCATGTGTCGTGGTTAAGCAAGCAAATCTCGTGAAGAATCAATTAATTTCACTTGTGCACATTCCCTATGGAAAGTGCTTTTTTATGACTTTTGATTGCAAATGCAATAACCCAAGCACACATGACCAAATGGTGCTTAGGCAAACATAGTAAAAAAGTTAGGAAATTTCGCCCTTCCCTCTCGCAGATTTATTCCAACTCGACCTAACTTGAAATTTTAAAAGCCGATTCCGAGATTGGCGTGAACCAATGAAATGTCTACTAATGTGCATATAGCTAACCGGAGAAAAACCACAAAGGTCTCATTTTTTTCCCTTGCACTTATCCTAATTCACTGTATATTTAAAGATCTATTAATGGTCATTTTTTACTTTTTCTTTAAGTGATGATTAGACCCGACCCGACTCGACCCATATTGCTAATACACAATCCAATTTAAAAAACTCATACTTAAATTGAGGTGATAGCACGAAATGATCCAAGCACGAGATCGAGTGAGGGTGAGAGAGAGTGAAAATACAGTCACAGAGGTGGGTTAAATACAGTAACAGAGGTGGGTTAGGTCTAAGTAAGTTTTGAACTCGATTAACACCCATATTATTTTGGTCTTTATCATTGTAAACCCATTTATGACACAGTTATTTTTTGTTTCGCTTGGCGAGTATATGGCGATTGTGGCATTTGAGAATCAAAGGCCAGCTTTGGCGCGTGGGGGAGAGCAAAGGGAGGGGACGCATC